CTCAGGAGTCTCCCCTGTCTGCACTCAACACCCCCAATCCTTCTAGCACATGCCCTCGGGCAATTATAAAATCCACGGGAGCTTGCCCCTTGCCAGGCCCATTTCAGTTGGGCCAAGGAGCCCTTGTGCTGATGTAGTTAAAGAATCGGGCTGCCAACCAAAAGGTCTGTGGTTCGAACCCACAAGCTGCTCTGCAGGAGAACAATGAGGCGGTCTGCTTCTGCAAAGATCTACAGCCTTGAGGACCCCGTGGGCAGTTCCACTCTTCCTCTGGGGGCGCTGTGAGTCAGAATCCACTTGATGGCAGTGGGTTTAGGTTTTGCAGTCAGGCCTGTAAGGGGGGCATCCTTCCATTTGAAAACATGTGAACTCAGTTAAACTTCAAGAACATTGTGCCTCTAGTGGAGACTTCCTGTTTTCCAACCTCAAAGGAGTCCCTGGATGGTACAAATGGTTCATGCATTTGGCTGCTGAGAAGTTGGAGGTTTGCATTCCCCAGAGGCATCTCAGAAAAAAGGCCTGGCAATCTAGCTCCCCCCAAAATCAGCCATTGAAAACTCTGTGCAGCAATCCTACTTGGACACACACAGGGATCGACTCCATGGCAGATGGTACTACTACTGGTCCAACCTCAGAAGCAGCCATCCATTCAGCCAGCATTTACTACAAGGCCCGGAGCTAGGGGACATGTGGAGATAAAAAGGACACAGTCGGAGCACTGAAGGCCCTTCCACTGGTGACAGCATGCTAAGAGATGATGCCACAATAATCTATGTGGACATCTAGAGACTTCATAGGGCAGAGGTGGGACATCTAACCTGGTTCCAAGAAACTATAAGGCTCCAGCCTTGACCTACAGTATCTCTGCTTCTCAGAACCACCCAGTAAAGGTAGAATTATCTCCATTTTACAGAATGACCTGTGAGCCCGAGGTCAGACAGGAAAGGGCAGGCTGGGGCTGGCACCCAGGTGTGAGTGCACAACCCTCTCCTTTATCCGAAGCAGGCAGGGCCCATGGAAGGTGTCTTTTTGGCACCGGTGCCAGGATCATGCTTCAATGTCAGTCACTAGGGCTGAGGACGTGCCTCCCCCTTACCCTCCCTACTCTGGGAGTTTGGACCCTGGCACTGAGCCTACTTGGTGGCCTGGGAGATTTTTCTCCTCAATCAAGAAACTCGACACACACCGGCCAGGAGATAAAACAATTCTTTTAATGTGGTCTTTTCCTCCCCGCCTGTTCACCTGATGCAGAAGGATTTTGCAGTAAAACTTCAGCTTTACAAGAATATGCAACAGAAAGAATTAGGAAACTGAGCAATCCAAAACAGCCAGAGGACGGTTTTATGTTTTTTTTCTTCTAATGTAATGCAGTTCCAAGAAGAGTGAAGTCATGGCCAAGGTGGCTTATTTTCAGTTCTTAGAAAAAGAGTCAAATTCAAAAAGGGAAGTGAGGCTGACAGAGCATACAGCCTGCCATTGTCTGCCACAGGGTGCTGGCTGATAAACCCACTTTGGTTTGGCACCAGAAAAACTCCCCCCGCCTCCTGCCCCCCATGAAGGTCTGTCGTTTGGTGATGGTGACGAGGAGAGACTAAGTTGAAGCAAGGAGTTATTAATATTCACAGAAACCACAGTGGTTCAGCCACCAGACTGAGGCGGCCCGGCTCTGCAGGGACTTAGGAGAAACACACAGCACCCCCTTTCCCCACCCAACACCCTCCTGGGACACTTCACTGGCCAGGCAGCAATATGGCCCCGCGAGCACTTTTCAGTCTGGTACTAGCTGCCAGACGTGAAGGGGAGGACAAAGCAGGCCGGATACAGGGCCTGAGGTTCTCGGCAGCCTGGGTCAGTCTGACAGCAGCGAAGCCGGTTTCAGATCAGGGCAGGTGGGAGGAGCAGTCAGGTGGACTTCAGTTTCAGGTCTTACAGCATCAACCACAGACTCAGCTCAAGGAGCTACTACCAGGCACCCTGTAATAACTGGAGGTGGGGGGACTGTAACACAGTCTTAACCTAAGAATCCTGTAACACAGATCCCATGGAGTACACTGAAATTAAATTTCAATGTCATCAAAAGCAACCCACGAACTGTCCCAGCCAGGAGGGGCCTAAGGAGGCATGATGACTAAATGTAGTGTCCTGGATGGGACCCTGGGTCAAAAAAGGACATTTGGGGAAAACAAAGGGGGTCTGTGGGTTTTCACTACAATCACCACTGCCATCGAGTCGATTCCAATGCAGCGCCCCTATAGGGGAGAGTTCAATTGCCCCATAGGGTTTCCAAGGCTGTGAATCTTTACAGAAGCAGACTGCCTCATCTTTCTCCCACAGAGCGGCTGGTAAATTCAGATGGCTGACCTTCTGGTTGGCAGACGAATAGTTAGTAATCACTACGCAATCAGAGCTCCTAGCATGGACTTTAACCAAACGAAATACCAAACTCACTGCCATTCAGTTGATTCCGACTCCTAGCGACTGGGTTTCCAAGGCTGTAAATCTTTCCTCATCTTTCTCCCTAGTTGACAGTACACACCAATATTGCTTCATTACCAGGAACAATACATGCACCAGGTAAATGTAAGACGCTACTGTCAGGGAAAACAGTGCGGGGTACGTGGGAACCTTCTGTGTTTACCATCTTTGCAGTTTATCTGTAAATTTAAAACTGTTCTAAAAAATAAAGGTTTCTTTTTGGGAAAGGGGG